CTCCTGTCCTCTCTCTAAAATCAATAGAAGCATGTATGGGAAATATTCATACCATGTTTTTTTGTTTTTGGTTAATCTGGGAAATATTCATACCATGTTTTGTTTAGCTTTTTGTTAATCCTCAGTGAAGGATATTTTTCCATTGAGTTTTTAGATAGAGGGGGGGAGAGAGAAAAGAAACATTGATGTGAGAGAGATGCATCGATTGGTTGCCTCCTGCACGACACGAGATTGGGGCCAGGATGGAACCTGCAACCCAGGTATGTGCCCTTGACTGGGTATAGAACCCGAGACCCTTTGGTCCTCAGGCCGACGCTCTAATCACTGAGCAAAACTATCCAGGCCATAGCATGTTATTATGCTGATGGAATCACCCACTAGAAAGAAAAATTTATATAGGAGAGGGGGAAATTGTAGTTGCAAAGTTCCTTGAAGGTGAGTGGTTTGTGGTGGTGAGATAGTTAAATGAACGATTTATTCATACTGTATTAATAATGGAGGAAGGAAGGGAAGTGGATTTGGTGGTGTGAGCCTTTTTCTCAGTGAAATAAGGAAAGTTATTCACAAAGAGCAAGGAGCAGCAAGGGAATGATGGAGGTTTGAGGACAGAGGCACTGGAATAAACCCAGAATCACAACCTGCAGTTGCTTCTCACAGAAAATGCTCAGGTTATCTCAGTTAAAGGAAACTCATCATTGCAGATACTTCTACTGCTTCGTGTACATACTGCATGTTTCTGTGCATTATCTCATTTAATTCTAACAATCCTATGAGACAGGGTTTTGCATTCAAGGAAACAGGCTTAGAGGGGGTAAGTATCTTGCTTAAAGTTACAGAGCTAGTAAATGGTGGAGTTGGAACAGAAATTTGGATCTCTTGACCCCAGAGGCAGGTGAGAATATTTTAGGAACTGCAAAACTTCTTGGAGATCTGTAGCATTATTGTTTCCCATGTTAGAGGTGGTGTTTGGCATTTGCCCAGGTTTTTCTAACAGCAGCTCCAGGAGTCAGTTCTCTCTTCCTACTGTTACTAACAGTGTGATTGTATCAGTTTGGGATGCTTTGGCTACAGGTAACAGAAAACTAAGCAGTAATGACTTAAACAAAGAGAACTTTTGTTTTTCTGGTGTAACAGAATGTGTAGAGGTAAGCGGTTGCAGGCATTGGTTCAGCTGCCCAGCACAGCTATGAGGGACCCAGGCTTGCTGTGTGTTTCCACTCCACCACTGTTAGTGCCATGGCTTTTGATCTCAAACTTGTCTTATGGTTGCAAGAAGGCTGCTGCTGCTCTTGATGTCACCTCTGCTTTGGAAGAAGGAAGATGGAGAAGGGGCTGTGGATGAAACACTAAGGAGTGCGTTTGTCCCTTTTTATCAGGAGAGCTATAGCTTTCCCAGAAGCTCTGCTGGTCAGCAGGCTTCTGTGTATATCAGTAAGTCAGAACTGGGTCATCTGGCCACTGCTTGCTGCAAAAGCATCTAGTCAGTACCTGCCTTCCTTGTCTCTAAGGTTGAGGCAGGCCATGGAGAGGGTGTTAGAAGTGCTCAGAGGACAGCTGACCTGCAGTGTCTGTTAGAGGTTCTCTTACCAGAAGAAAGGCTTTTGATTGATTTGGCCAGTCTCCTTATGGGTCACTGGCGGGCCCACCTGTGGCTGTTTTGGGGCTGGATATTAATCTGTGGTCTTATCAGCTATGGCGTGGCAGTGGTGGGGACAAGTAGCACCAAGGTAAGAGACCACTCTCCATGTATTAGATGCCACTCCAGTTTGTCTTGAGAGGTCTTCACAGTCAGTGAACAGGAGGAAGAAGAAAAGACATTTGAGGAATCTTGGGGATAAAGGAAGGTTTTTTTTTGTTTTTTTTTTTAAGAAAGCACAGATCATAAAGGAAAAGATTAAGGAATTTCAACTGCAAAAACTTCTGTGCATCAGAAGACCTCATAAAAAAGTGAAAAGAGTCAACTGGAAGAAGGTATTTGCAAAAGCATTAACTGAAAAAGGATAAATTTTAAAATGTCAAACCACTCAATAAGAAAAGTGGCTGTTCATAGAGAAGGAAAGCCAAATGGCCAATAAACATGAAGTCATGCACAGCTTCAGAGAAACAGGTTAAAACAGAAGAGATCTGACACCTGTTAGACTGACAAGTGTTAGAAGGTCTGCGAGAGGACCTGGAGCAGTGAGAGAAAGAGTGAGCACTGGGGGGGGGGGGGGTCACACAGGGAGACATCTGGAAAATCTGGTCATGGTGAAATTGTCAGGTGTGGCCCTGCATGTATGTCCCCAGTGAGGTAGAGTCCCGGAGACGCCTGCACTTGTTTGCGGACGGTAAAAGAATGGTTACTACAGCATGGCTTATAGTAGCGAGACATCGGGAGTTCCTAGAGAACCCTCGGCATGAGAGAAAATAGGGTTGTGTCCTCATACAGTGCAGTGAGGACTCCGGGGAGCCGCGTGGAACAGAGTAGGTGACCAACAGTGGGGACAGGAAAAAGCTCACTTCAGAAGAGTACGTTTCTGTAAACCTGAAAACATGCAGAAGGGCGATGCATATGTATGTAATAAACAAGAAACTGCATGGAAATCACAAACTCCTGGTTGGAATGGTGGTTACCTGAGAAGGAAATGTGTCTTTTCGAAGCAGTTTAGCTCTTGGGAGAATGGGGCGTGGGGAGGGGTGCAGGGTGTGTGTGCATGGGGTCTTGGACGGGTTTGCCACACCTTATTTCTTAAGGGGAAGGTGGATAGTTGTTGTATTTGTCTTTTTGTATGTCTGAAATATTAAATACATTGAGTAAATGTTGAAAGGGGAAGACAGAAGAGAACTTGGAGAGGCAGAGTTGGGAAGAGGGTCTGTGCCTGTCTCTGTTGTGTCTGCACTAGACTGGGCACGAAGCATGGTTTGGACGCAGCCTTGGACCTCATCCGTGTGTAGTGATCTTAACTCCGCGTAGCCTGCTCTGTACCAGAGAGCTCTGTAGTCATGCACCCCCCCCCCCCCCCCAGCACTCCCCTGGTCCACATGCCCAACGGAATGTTTTGATTGGAATTATTTGTCTTGATGACATTTCGCTACAAACCCTTCTGAGTCGAATTAGGTTATGAAAAGATAGCGCATCTTGAGGGAACGCGCTGCAGAGGCCGGAACTAGTTGTGGTCGGTCAAACTCTGCCGCATGAGAAGGGGCCTCCGTGCCCTTTGTCTCCTTCGGATCGCCGAACACCCCGGGCTTCATCCGCGGCTCCTGCATCCTCTCCTTGTTTGCCGTGCCATTTGTGTGACGGTTCCAGTGGCCTTGAGGTTTCATTCTGGCACCTCAGCAGGCAGGATCACACTGCCGGGCCCAGCCCCAGGGTGGACAGTGCTCTCCTGAACTTCACCCTCGGCGGCGCACTAAGGCCGGGGTGTAGGGCTCGTCCTGCGTGCTGCCAGCGCCCCCTGCTCTCGTCCTCGGCCCCAACCGCCCCTCCCAGCCAGACTGACAGGAACCGCCACTCTGTAGTCGGAGGGAACATACTGGTTACATAATTGCTGTTTGGAGGTATACTGGCAGGTTAGAATGTTTAGAGTGAATTTTTACATAGTTGGGTGTTCAGTAATTTTCCAGAGGAATCGGTGGCCTGGGCCAGGTGGGAGGTTTCCTCTGAGTCCTTAGGATTCACCCCCATTCCTCTGTGCAAAGAAGCGGGGGCGGTGACAGGCTCCCTGTGGCTGAGCGTCCTAAAAGGCAAAGCAGAGGATTTTTGCCATGGAAACACCACAGCCCAGGCCAGGGGCCTCCAGGGTGGACATGTGCTTTGACATGCTACCCGCACAGCAGGCTGTGTTAAAGGAGGTGAGCTCCCTGTGTCTGGGCTGTTTTCTGGCTGCCAGGCAAGCAGAGGGAGCTGGTAAATCCAGGGTTCAGTTTGTTCCAGGTGCATTGTCTCGGCTGGTCAACTTGGAGAAACCAAAGTCCTTCAACAAGGCACATGGTTGACTAAATAAGTGGACATACCATGTTGCTCTAACAATGAAACCTGGGCATCCAGCATAGCACCAAGCTCTTGTGGACATAATATAAATAAATACCTTGTGGTGGTGGTGTTGCTAGCAAATATCCCATTGCCATGTTTCTTCATAGTCTCCTTCCTATACACTGCCTCCCTTCCTGCCACGTTGCCACTTACCACTGTCCCTGTTTCTCCTTAAGCTAGATGACTTCGCGTTAAATGAATTTTATTTTCCTCCATTAGGCTGAGGACAGCAAATAGCTTTCAGTTCTTGTGCCGTCTCTGAGCCATTAAAAATGGCTGCCAGGAGTTCTGGGTTGCTAAGGATTCAGAGGCAGATCTCAGCTCAGCAGGGAAGAATGCTGACTGATTAGCAGTCTGTGATGGGCAACAGGGTTCGGGCTTGTGGCACTGCTGTCTAAAATACTCAGAAAAGCGCTAAAAAATTAAGAAACATCTTAACACATCAAACTATGAATGGTGGCACGTGAATGTTCTTTTGATAATATTTTGTGTTTTCTACATTTAAAAAAAAATCTGTTTTTATTGATTTTTTTTAGAGAGAGAGGGAGGGGGGAGAGAGAAAGAAACATTGATGTGAGAGAGAAACATCAATCAGCTGCCTTCTGCACACCCCCCACTGGGGATCGAGTCCGCAACCTGAGCATGTGCCCTGACCGGGAATCGAACCAGTCTGTGGGCCGACACTCAATCCACTTAGCCACACCGGCCGGGCTGTTTTCTATATTTTTGACAGTGAACATGTATTACTTCAATAAATGAAAGAAACACTCTTGGTGTTATTTTGAGAAGAAATGTCTCACCTGAACGACACCAGTGACTGACTGTGCTGTGTCTGTGTTTGATTCTGCGGCGGGCTGTGTGGTTGCATATGGCAGGCTCGCTGCCTTCTCCTTGTTCTCTGAAAACCCTTTGACCCGGGCCGCAGTCCTCGCTGAGAGGGGACGTGGGGACTGGCTGACTGGTTTCTCGTCTTCTAATGCGGCAGGTCGCGGTGGTGCATCTATCTATGGCAAGCAGTTTGAAGATGAACTTCATCCAGACTTGAAATTCACGGGTAAGTATATCCTCTGGCTGGACCGGATGGGAAGGGAGAGTGGGTTTTGAAAGTTCATTCTTTTGGCTGAGATTCAAGGTGAATGCCTGACATGGTGGCGTGGTGCTGTGTAGCTGCCCAGGTGCAGCCCCGGAGAGCCTGAGGATTAGAGAAGTGGTGCCTCCCTCGGGGAGCTGAGCGATCAGAGGCTGGTCTGAGTGTTCTAGACTCTGCTTGTTGAATGTTGCTCTCATAAACTACAGGAAAACAGAAGCTTCCTCAAAGAAGCGGGACACCTTGCTGGATTTTTTAGGGGATTTGGGAACATGGTCCAGTGATTAATGAAGATCATCATGGACAGAGACTGGGGAGTAGGTGAAGACAAGGTCACCAGGTGGTGCAGGCGATGTCCTCTGCAAGGACGAGAGCCCGCCCTGAGGGAGGTTGTCTGGGCGGGGTGGTCGTTGATAGAGGCCAGAACGAAGTCTGGGTTATTTTCATCCCTACAGTGGTGTAGTAGCAGCTCCAGATCGGAGCCGTGGGGGTTAGTCATACTCTTTCTCTTATTTTTTTCCCACCAGGGGCTGGAATTCTAGCAATGGCCAATGCAGGGCCAGATACCAACGGCAGCCAGTTCTTTGTGACCCTCGCTCCCACCCAGTGGCTTGACGGCAAACACACCATTTTTGGCCGGGTGTGCCAGGGTATAGGAATGGTGAACCGAGTAGGAATGGTGGAAACAAACTCCCAGGACCGCCCTGTGGATGATGTGAAGATCATCAAGGCCTACCCTTCTGGGTAGTCCTGCTGCTCTCTGGGGCACAGCAGGTCTTCTGAGATGGCTTCCAGATGACCTAGAATGACACATAACTCTGAACTTCATTTTTGCCTTGCAAATCATGGAGCTAAGGAGGCCTGGGGGCTTGAGTGAGTTAGAGATGGAAGTGTATTTTAATAGGATGCTTCTTCTCACTTCTCCCTGAGCCTAGGTTGACAGAGCATTCGCAGAAATGCCCATACATGATCATACGCAGGTTCCTCTCACTCAGACGGCCCCTACTGCTCCTTGTGTGTATCTGCTCTGGTACACTTGGGACAAAATGAAGCCAACTCCATCAGTTCTCAGTACCCAACCACACTTCTTTCTGCGAAGATTTGTATTCTGGCCTACACTGCAGCGTGTGGTGGCTGACGGCCACAGAATTCAAAACCGAGTAGCGTCTATCAGCCTTCTGAACTCTGCACACACCCTGTTTCAGTCTCCTACATTTGTTCTTCCCGGGAATGTCTGCGTCTCTCTCTATTTTCCCTCTCAAAACCAGAACATCAACACTGCTGTTTCTGACACCAAGACAGCCCACGCAAAGCCACATTGGGTTTCTGCCAAATGAAAACTGCATCCAACAATCAAGTTTCCAAGAAGGTGTCGAGTGGGGAATGATAATGTGTAATAATTAAGAAACGAATTTATTAAAAGGATGCAGAAGCATTGACCATTTTTTCCCCAGGATGGAGTAGGAAACTGGTGAGCACAGGAACAGACTGTGATTCTCCTTCTCATAAAGGAGAAGTACCACTTGAGTGTTTTTTAACCCTAAGACTTTAGAGAAATTAAGAGGTTTTATATGTTAAGGTTTTTTTTTTCTTTTTAATCTTTCTGATTTTTTTAGAGGGTGTTATGAGAAAAAGGAAGTTGATATCTATGTAATACATAGAAATTTCCTAAATAAAATGCCACTGATGGTTGAAATGTTTGCTGTGGTCTGATTTTAAATATTATATAAGGTTCTGTGAGTCATTTTAACCCCTGAACCATCTCAAGTAGTATTTTAGGGCTCCTCTGAAGATTTCACATCATTTTACCTTTGTGATCTCCATGGACTTCTCCCATTCAACAGCTGGTCGACTTTAAAAAGGCAGAACCAAAGAAAGAAGTTAAGGGATCTTGATGAGTATGTCTGAGTGAGGGGATTCCCTAGACGAACCAGGCAGACGTGCTGAGAGACCTGAGCCATCCCTCAGACTTGTAAGAGACACACCTGCCTGTGGCCATGGGCGCAGAGACGCGTAGTGCTGTTAGCTCCTTGACTGAAGAGAGGCGTGTTGCTTCTCCCTCTGTGCGCTTTGGGCATGGTGATTTACTCCCTGGAATGGCAACCAAGGTTCTAGTCCCGAGTGTTCCCCACGTTCAGCCTTTCTCCATGCTTTTTTCTCTCAACGAAAAAAGGAAAACCCAACAACAAACTGTAAATGACTTTGTAACTTACCAGACACACTTTGGGGGTACAAAGTACTATTCTGGGAAATTAGAATACGTTTCTTTCAGCTTGAACTGGGCAGACACATTGGATCCACCTCTAGGAGCAAGGAATAAGACACTCATCCAGTTACCTCCCAGGATTATAGTCCTGAAAACCCACTTCCACCCAAGTGGGGCGCGGCGGGAGCCGATTGTGGCAGCCTCGAGGAGGAGCAGAGGCGGGAGTAACCTGGGAAGAGCGAGGCACAGGCACAGTGCCTTGTTTCTGGGGTGCACCAGACATGCCGGGATCGCCCGTGAGCGTGAACCAGTTTTCATAAAGGATGTGACCTCAAAGAATGAAATTTGAATTATTTCACAATTTCTAGAGATTCTTCCAGTTAGCCAGAGATGTAGACATTTCTGTTTCTGTGTAAAGAGAGCCTGTTTTAAAGGAATCCTGGTTAATCCTTTTGTCCTGTGAGTATTCACACACTCCCAGGAAGGGTAAGTACAGTTAGGAGAAGGCTCAGGAGGGGGTGTGCGGGGCACAGAGAGCCCATTCCAGTCACGTCTCAGATTGAGGTGAGGATGGTTTATGAGAAGGCAAGGATGAGTTTATATCGGACATTAGTGAGAACAGGTTGTGGGGCTGCCGGAGCTAATCAAGGGAAGGGAGAAATGCAGCTTCGGGGGGAAGGGTAGGAGATTACAGACTTTCTTCGGAGACTGCTTGATGTTATGTGTAAACAAGCCAATGAAAGAAACCTTCAAACAAGTGTCCGATGGGGAAGAAGTTTGGCACCCAGACTATAGAAAGCATGTCCCCAGGGCCCTAGCCCAGGGCTTCTCACACCACACCACGCAGGAGTCACTGGGGAGCCTGCGAGAGCGGGTCAGGCTCCAGCACCCTCCGGAGAGGAGAGCATGTTCCTAGCAGCTCCCAGGAGGTGGTGACGGCTCGTTCAGACACCACACTCTTGAGTAGTGAGAGCCTAGAGGTCACGTTTGTCCAACATGAAATTGGGGGATGGTTCCTAAGAGCATGGGGCAGTGGGGACCACAACCGGACCCTCCCCTAGAGCAGGGGTGGTCTTGGAAGAGTGGAAAGAGTCAAAGCCTGGATGAGCTCCACCAGCTTTCGGCTTTGGCTGCTAAATGGAGCTCTAAGGATCCGTGGCCTTCCGCCTTCCGCTCCCACTTCAGTGCGTCGTGGGCACCAGGTCCTGTGTGCGTGCCCCAGTGGGTAAGATGGTATGGTTAGCAGACATTACAGAAAATGCAGGGGAGATATCAGCAATGGTGACAATGAAGGAGAAGGGCTCTGGAACTGGCCTGCTGGGGTTCCGATGCCAGCCTCTGTTCCTTTGTTTCCTAAACCATAAAATGGAGATAATGGGCCTAACCTCATATGGCTATTGTGAAGATTAAATGAGTTAGAACAGGGACCAGCATTTAGAAAACAGTGACTATAGCCCGGCCAGTGTGGCTCTGTGATTGAGCGTCGACCCATGCACCAAGGGGTCGCCGGTTCGATTCCCGGTCAGGGCACATGCCCAGGTTGTGGGCCTGATCCCCAGTGGGGGCCTGCAGGAGGCAGCCAGTCGATGTTCTCTCTCATCGATGTTTCTATCTCCCTCTCCCTCTAAAATCAATAAAGAAAAAAAAAATTTTTAAAGAAAACAGCGATTGTTATTCCCAGTGGCCCTTGAAGCTACCACGTGTACCTCTCCCTCTGTATCCCAACATGAGCAGCCTGACCTTGCATACCTCTCCCTCCCCCTGGATCCCCCTCCGAGAGCAAAGACTTTGTCTTATTCCCCTCTCTGAGTCCCCCAGAACCTTATGCAAGTCTTCAAAGTTACTGCTGAGCCCTCGCCGGTTTGGCTCAGCGGTTAGAGTGTCGGCCTGCGGTCCAGAGAGACCGGGTTTGGTTCCCGCTAAGGGCACATACCTCGGTTGCAGTTTGTCCCTAGCCCTTGTTGGATTGTGCAGGTGGCAACCACTCGATGTGTCGCTTTCACGTCGATGTATCTCTCTCTCTTTCCCCCTCCCACTCTATCTGAACAAAAAACGAAAAAATGTCCTCGGGTGAGGATAAAAAAACAACAACAAAGTTACTGCTGAATGAATCAAATAAAAAATTGTTCCCTGTCAGGAAAAGATTGAGATCCACCTGCAGAAATAATTTTACCCCAAGTCTTCATGCCCAGGCTTCAGCTGGTATGGCAGCAAAGCCTCTCCACTAAGCCCTCTGGAATTCCTCAGCTTGATTTATTTTTGGATTGCGTCTCCAGAATATGTCAAAATAGCTTCCCCTGCACAAGTGGAAGGATTCCTATTCCCACATCCTCAAGCCAATCTGAGCCGTGGCCCCTTCTGGCACTACATTCTCGCAATGGGTGGAGGAGGAAACATTGAAAAGCACATTTGTTGAAGTGGAGTTTACTGCCTACAAATCACTTCATGGCCTTAGAGCCCCATTGCTATAGGGTAGATTACAATTCTTCAGGTAAATATCAAGATGGGGGGTAGGAGAATCTTTTAGCAACATTTGTTTATAGATAAGAGAAGCCAAGTGTCAAGAGCACAAGTTAGGGTCTCACTCTAAGGCTGGCTTGGTCTGATTTGGAAATTGGGTCCTCTGTTCTTCCTAATGGGAATTCATGATCGCCGGCTGCATCTGAAACCACAGGTGGCCAGTTTGGGGCCAGGTTTGTGGACAGAGAGGCAAGGCTTTGGTGCCATCTTGGGCGAGTCGCTTTACCTCTGGGACTTCGTTTCCTGGTACATCAAGCAAAGATCAGAACCAGGTCCTTTCTAACCCTACATTTCTAAATCTAGGTCATTCTGAGATGATTCTTTCAGCTGCCAAGTTTCCATTTAGTATGGTATTTTGGAAATTTGCCACTAGAGGCCACTGTGAATACAGTTTGGCCTCACAGCTTCTTCGAAAGGCAGAAGTCTACGGATGCCGTCCATGATTCTAGCCAGGCTGCCACCCCTTGGAGGTAGAAAGCCAGCCACTACTCAGACTGCGAGGAGCCAGAATTGAGAAATCAGCCTGGCACTGAACCGGCCAAGGAGGTGCTCTCTGTCGCAAGGCCGACCGCCCCCTTTCCTGCGGACTGGACTGGATGGAGGAGCAGCCTCCACTCAGGTAAGGCGGGATGAGCCCTTGTGAGGCCTGATTCTGTAGCACACCACATCACAGGGACAAGTCCCTCTAAGCCGCTTACTATTCCACTTTACAGTTGAATTCCTTTATTCGACAAGTAAATTTGGACTTCCTCTGTTATGCCCAGCGACAGCAAATATTTTCAGAGCAAGTCAGCCAGAAGGAAACTCAGAAGAAAACAAAAAGTTATTGTTGCCCTTTCTCTGTTCCGTGGTTCGTGGAACCCTCTTATATATATATATTCTTGTCTTAATTCTCCAAACCAACCTCTGAGGTTGGCATTATTATGCCCATTTGCAGATGAGCAAACTGAGGACCAAAAACAAGTAGCACAAAGCCTCGTACAGAGTGAAGACTGGATGCCATAGCAGGGCCCTGGGTTGCGTGGCCAGTAAAAGGCAGGACGAGGACATGAACTGGGAGCTTCTGATCCTAAGTTCAGCCCTTTTATCTCCTTTGACACACACAGGTAGACGATGAGGCGCAGAGACAGGAAATGATCTGCCGGCAGGGCAGGGGTAGAACCGAACCTCCTGCCCCACAGGCTGGGCGGTCAAACCCACTGCTCCGGCCTGGAGCGTCCCCAGGCCGAGGCTGGCTGGGAGCCCCCGCCGGGCTGTCTCCACGGTCCTTTCAAGCAGAGCCTGCACCAGGCCTGCCCGGGCCCAGCAGCAGGGAGGGAGGGAGGGAGGAGGAAGGAGCACAAATTACCCTAATCAGTGTGTTTATTGGATCATAACTGTATTAGCCTCACCACTCAGCGAATCGCATGGAAATCACTTTCCTCTCCGTGAGGATCTGGCCGCAGCTCCGTTAAAAGCTGCGAGCCGGCCGGTACCTGTGAGGAGGCCGCGCAGCAGAGGCAGCGGGGGAGGGGAAGCACTATTTCTGCTTCCTCATTACACTGACGGGAAAATGGCCTTTTCACATTCACTGTATAAGAAAAGGCCCCGAGGGAATGGGAATCTGAGGTGCACATTGTGTTTTTGGCAACATTCAGCTCTAAGAGCAAACGTTTCCTCTGTGCCTTCCTTTTTGAAAGCATTTGTGATGCTATTAAAGATAAAACAAGAAAAGGGAAGGAACTTGAGATTGGGGAACATACCAGGTGCCAGGGCTTTATGTCTGTTCCATTTAGTCCTCTCTGAGGGCCTGTGAACAGGGCGCACAATGTCCATTTCAGAGACGAGTCTGTTTCATGAAGGCTCCGCGTGGCAGGGCTGAGCTTTGAGCTTGGGGTCTGCT